TTGCCATCTCCAAAACGGTTCAGTTCTTTCTTTCAGTCACACCATTTTGTTGTGGTGAACAGTGAGTTGATGTATGCCTTCATTATCACAAAATTTGTTAAACTCTGATGTGCTGAGATTCATGATTTCAGAAGAGCTTTCTTTATCAACATAATTCTTGAATTTGTGGAATGTTTTAAAGACCTCGGAACGATCTTTCATGAAGTAAACCCATGTCATTCTAAAATAATCATCAATAAATAAGATGAAATATTTGATATCATCAAGAGAAGGAGTTTTCATTGGACCACATACATCTGTATGTACGAGCTATAATTTCTTTGTTGCTCTTCTTGCAAGTCCCTTGGGAAATGGTTGTCTTGTCATTTTTCCCAATTGACAACCAGTGCAAACACCGATTATGTTTGACATAGTTCGTATCCCCTACACCATATTTTTTTTTTTTTGTGAAAGAAGTTTTAGATTCTGAAAGTTACTCTGACCAAAGCGTTTGTGCCATAGCTATGTAGCTTCATCTCCTTGAGCTTGCATTGCCTTCTCTTTTCCTTCATATTGCCAATTTAAAGGAAAACATTTATGTTGCATTTTAACATTAGCAACTTGATTTTTTTTTTATCCAATATGGCACATGATTCATCCTTGATATGGATAGAATATCCATTTTGAACCATTTGAGGAACACTTAGCAAATTTTGATTCAAGTAAGGACATAAAGAACATCTTTAATGAACTTTGTCCCTTATTTTGTCTCAACGACAATTGTGCCTTTGCCTTCAGACTTCACCATTTGATCCATTACCCATTTTCATAGGGATTTTAATAGATGTGTCTGGTGAATATATCAAATTGCTTTGTCATATGATTTGTGCATCCACTATCTATAAGCCAATCATTTTTTTATAGTATTATTTTGATTAGCATAGAATAGATAGCCTTCTTCATCAATTGTCTCTTAAACGCTTGCTTGTTGTTTCTTAAACCTGCAAACATTCTCAGTATGACCAAGTTTCTTGCAATAATTACATTGCGATTTTCCCTTGTGCCAACAATTCTTTTCTTCGTGATTTGTTTTCTTACAAATTTTGCAAGGAGGAAAATTACCTTGTTGATTTCTCTCTGTATTGTTGTTTGAATTCTTGTTCTTGAATTGAATTATTATGAGTTTCGATGATGAGGGATTATGCCTTGATTGGAAAGCTCCCTCCGGACCTTCTGTTTCATTATCCCTAATATTCATCTTTTATTCATGTATTTGTAGAGAACCAAGAAAATCCGCAAGAGATAATGTTGTAATATCTTTTGACTCTTCAATTATTTGTGCAATGAGATTAAACTTTTTTGATAAAGTTAATAACATTTTTTGCACAATTTCTATTACTCTTGCATAGTAATCTTTTATACTTTCATCTTTTTTCATTTGCAAATTATCAAACTCAAGTTGACGAGATTGTAATTTGACAATTTTCATTCTCTGGGTCCCTTGAAATTCGCTTTTCAAAGTATCCCAGGCTTGTTTTGCTGAGGTAGCATTCATTATTTGAGAAAAAACTGAGTCTGTAGTAGCGAGGTGAATTTTGGCTAATGCTTCGGCATCCTTCTTTTGCCAATTAACTCCTCCTACACTAGATTCTCCTTCATTTGGTTTAGTTGTTGGTATACCAGATTCAACAACTTCCCATATGCCAAACGCACGTAAGACAGTTTTCATTCGAATGCTCCAATATTCGTAGTTGCTACCATTGAATAATGGAACTTGTTATTGGTTTATCATGCTTGTAAATGCCTTTTTTTTTTGGAAAATAATATTATATTTTATGAATTATTTCTAACTTCGCGGAAATAGTGCTAGAGCCTTCTAGATCGTACTAGCTCTTGATACAACTGTTAGGATATAGTGCTAATTGTGCATAATATATATAAAAATATAAATATGTATAATGGGTTTATAAAAGATTTTATTGATAATGTTATATATTTTTTTTGAGTTTACAATGACTTATATAGAAAGATTAGTTACATTGGCATAGTTATATTTGATATATGCCAACTTGATTTGACATGCATAACTATTAATTTACATTGCCAATTCATATGACAACAAACTTAACTATATATATTTTGGTGAGAGTCAGTAAAACAAGGAAGGCCTTCACATTTTAACAGGCATGAGTGATAGTGATTGTACAGGCCAATTTATTGTTTAAATTAGAAGAATCAATGTTAACAAGTTTGGGAAATATTCTAAAAAGGTATATTATTAAGAGATGAAAACTTCAAGTGGAATGTGTATGCTTTTGGCCTTATTGCTTAATCATCAAATTAGCTTGCTTGATCTAATTCTTTAGCAATAAATATAAATTAACAATTAACAATTCAACCCAGCCCATAATTTAAATTAGCAATTCAATCTAATTAAAATGAACCGTCAAAAGTTGTCAACCGAGGTCGGTTAGTGTAAAACAGTTTCAGGTTCGGGTTGTAGCAGGTTGGGTATCAACGGGTTCGTGTGGGGTTGACCAGCGGGTTGAGATCTATTTTAACACCCTATGATTTTTCATATTTTAGTACCAAAATGTACTTTAAACGTTCTAAAAATTACAAATGATAAGAAATATCGTCATCAATAGCCAATTTAAGGCAAATAATTAATGTTGTGGTCCAATTAAAATAATTTTAAATCAAAAGTTATAATGGTTGGAAGTGTTTTTGTCTAAAATTTACCATAATATGATATGTTTGATACAATAACACTGATTTTTGGGTTGGGTTGGGTCGGGTCGGGTTAAAAGGGGTTGTCTTTGAAGGGTTCAAAACGGTTTCGGGTCATTATTATTTTTTTTTGTCAAAACCCACTGTTTGCACCCACTGTTTGCGGGTTGGATTGGCATCGGATTTCGGTGCGAGTCGATTTTTGCCAGATTTAGTCAAAAGTGATCAACCCTCATTCAAACTCGCCATTAAGGCTCAATAACTTCCTAAATACTATTTTATCATTTTCAGTTTCAATTTTTTTTTTCCTTCAACCAAGCCCTTAACCTTGCAGTCAGTTCTTTTTTTTTTTTCTCATCACTCTCCTTCTCCTCACACTCTTTCTTCTCACTCTCTTTCTCCTCACACTCTTTCATCTCACCCTCTTTCTCATCAGACTCAATCTTAAGATACTTCATATATTCGAGAAGAGAGTCAAGAGACTTGGCATTATCAAGAGAAGCATAGTGAGACCATGTATTTTCAATACCAAGGACAAGAGCAACCTCCTCAACACAAAATCAAACGGTAGCATCACTATTGAAATTAAATGAGTTTTCCCCATCAAATGAGCGTGCTAAAGCAAGAATCAAAGTCACACTTGATTCTTTGAAATTATTAATTTTTACAAGTTTGTAGAAAATGGAAGATTCCATCAAATTTATTTTTTCTTTCACGTACAGTTTCATTTTACGAATGCTGGAGGACAATTTTAGAGGTTGATTTGAGGAAAAAGTCATGGCAGTAACCTAAAATCAGAGAAGCAGGCTATCAATTTAATCTAATTTCTATTAGAGATCATAAAAATCCAAAAAATTCGAGTTACAACACATGAAGCCACAAACGTCCCTAATAGCGAGTACCCGCTTTTTCGGGTAATTAACAATACGGCCCATGACCAGACCCGCTAAAAGCACATTTGTAATAATTATTCTCAAGCATAAAAGCAATACAAGCAATACAGTCTAACGGTGTAACACGCAAAAATGCAGAATATCAAATTAGAGATTACAATTACACATGAAAATTAACATTAAGACTTTTTATATATATATTAGGAGCAACAACCGGCCAACAACAAAAACTAACATTAATTAATTAATTGCACATAAACCCCAAACTCATTCATTAAAACTCTCTTAATTCAAACTTTCAAATCTGTTTTTGCTTTAATGGAGCATTTAAATTAATTAATTGTTATGCACATAAACCCCAACTCATTCATCAAAACTCTCTTGTTCCTACTCCCAACTCCCAATACTTCAAATCTGCAATAATTCACATCTACTTTACTTCCAACTTTAGGCTATGCAAGTAAACTTTAAAAAAATCTCCCCGAATCCTTTTTAAGTTTTCCCATCATCCTCAACAATGATTAAGTTACTGGACATCTTAGGTCAATTCTTTTTAACTTATTGTTGCTTACATGTGGACTTATCCAAACTTATTCAACGCTACTTTATACCCTAGTCAAAACTTATTAAACCTTATTTTTGCTTATTTAAGCCACTTAAATTTTAAGTGAACTTTTGTTTTGTTATAAAAACAAAGATAAGGCCTCCTGTGAAATTTCTTTCTTTTTAACTTAGAATTGTGAGTAACGTTAAGATTAATTAAAGATACCCCATAATCTTTGAGTTAGACAGCATTATCTGATCTACATATAGTACATCATAGTAAGCAGTACATTAATTAAAAAACTGGAACAAGAAAATATTTGTACAGATATTTGTCATAGTTTCAAATAATAGAATCCTAAACTTTCACTACCATAATAAGCTTACAACTCTGAATGAGATACCAATGAACACATACTAATACATACTGCATCATTTTTCAATTTACATGTCCATGCAACAAGCCAACAATACATAGAGGTTATCATAAATTTCATGTGCTTATCATAAATTGTCGGGGCGTGTACAGCAAAAAAAAAACATCCACATCAGATTAACAAAGAACACGATAGGATAGACCACTTTTATTGTGTTTCTAAGCAAGAAAATTTAATACCTTACAAGTTACAACAAAGAGAAGATATTATATATTAAAAAATAAAGAACAAGAAGGTAAATGAAACCAATTGCAAAGATACAACAAGACTACAAGCTGTAACAACCAGTTAATAAATCCTAAACAGACAAAATATGATAGCAGATGATGCAATAGGAAAGATTGATAAATTGCCAAGGGAAGGCCACCAAAATATTTTATTAGCCACAACTCAGAATACAGATAAGAAGTTCACGTACTTTTAAATGATCCGGAATCTTGTATAACTCTTCTTCAGCAAGAGTCAATTCACTCTCAGATTGTTCTATTGCAGCAAGTTCCTTGCCTCTTTTCTTGGCTAACTCTTGGTCGATATACTTTAACCTGTTGTTTGACAGTAGGCAAGGCTGAGAATGTGTCTTTTTAAAATATATGTAGACTATTGAGAACCTGGGAGATATGCTCCCCATAAAGACAAGCACTAAATCGAGGTTGTATACCTTTAATCAAGGTTAAAAGTTTTGTTTTATCAAGGTTTTATAACTTTTATCTACAAACTCCAAAATTGCAAAACTAATAACAATCAAATATTGACATACAAAACAAATGAATGCAAGCATGTTAGAAAAACAAAGATGTCAAAGTACATACTTACATGAAAAGGAACACTAACTCTAACGTGTACTTGCATGCTCAAATCTAAAAAGCAGTCTGAATTAAATGAAGTGGGAAAAGAGACGAGACAGGTAACATACATATTGGGGTCTTCAATCATGACAGCAGTTTCTTGTGCAAACGTATCCTGCAAAACTAACTCTTCTTTATCTCCATCAGCCTCGACTTTTTCGCCTATCTTTGTTGCTTCATTAGATGTCTGTGGTATCGAATTAGCAGGAATTCCAGATCTCCTCTCCCTCTGCTTTTGTAGCAATTTCACCTCCTCTAATGCCAACCTACTCAAATCAACACTTGCAAGTCAAACCTTAGAATAGAGAAACGGCAACATGCTTGAAGAGAAATACTCCCTCCTGCCCAGTGCCCATAGCGACGTACTACAGGAATACGGAATAACATATAAATACTACCCAACAAAGACGGAACCAATTGTAATTAACATTGTTTTTACTCTTACAATTGTTATCATTTAATTTCCCACTCAAACCAACAATGTGAATGCATACGCAAGTAATCCGAAATGTTCGGGACATCATAAGATGAAATTAACACTGCACTTACTCCTACAAACATAATCATATTCTAATTTCTAACCTTTAACATTCACATAATGTTTCAAAATGCGCAAACATACAAAGTAACTAACCAACAAATGCAAAATATATACAGTAGAAGCAAGATACGGAATGATGAATAGTAGCACCTTCTATCCTCCTCGTCATCTGAAACATTGTCTGCCGCTTCATCCTCAACTTTCCTTTTCCGGAAATTCTTTGGCATGTTAATAAATCACAACAACTTTACACCAGGAATTATTGCGGAAACTAGCGCACTTGCCTTGATCACCGATTTGAACACTGAAACAAAAAATTGAGATGAATTTGTCTAGAAAGTATTGATTTGGAAGCAGTGAAAAATCTAAAATCGACTCTAATATTTGAATTAAAGTGAACAAAACAATTAAAAATACAAAGCTAAGAATTGGAGCATAGAAAACCCTAATTTGAATCTGAAATTTACCATAAAATAGAGAAATTGAGAGAGGAGAAATACCTAATTTACAGACGGGAGAAAGAGAATGCAGCAGAGGAAGAAGATGAAGGAGTAGAAACAGAGAAGGAAAATGGTTGGCAGAGAAGATTGAGAGCGTAGGAATTGAGTAATATAGGAAGGCAGCAATGGTGGATTTGTCGCCGGCAGGAGTGCTGTGCGTACTGATGAAATTGCTGGGTGTGCGTCGTTAACAAGAATAGGCCGGGAAAAGGAGCATTGAATTACGAGACTCGTCCAGAGTCCGGGCTAGATGCTGCGCAAGTTAGGCATTAGTCGGCAAAATAAGGAAATTTTATGTAAAACTACTTTAAGATAGGCTGATTTGTGAACAATTATCCATTGAAAATTTTAAGGTGCAGCAGCCTGTACCTTGCTAGGTACAGACAAAAAAAAATACGGAAAGAACATGTATCTGTTTTGTAAAGAACATACAGTTTTTTTTGTAAAGAAATAACAGTTTTATAAAGAACATTTAATTTTATGTTTTTTTAATATCTAAAGAACATCTGTAATATTAATAAAGAACATGATATTACTATTTAATGAACATTACTTGTATATACCCATCATAATTTTAAGACAAAATTTAAAGAACAATTCACAATAAGTAATGAACATTATATCACAAATAAAAGTATATTACACTGATAATCAAAGAACATGGACATATGTTCTTTTCACTTTTTTTGGGTCCAAATATGTTATTTTTACCTTAGGTATATGTTCAGTACATTTTAATAGTATGTTCTTTTCACTATAACTATATGTTCCCTACATTTATATAATATGTTCTTTCCTTAAAACGTCTGTACCATGCAAGGTACCCACGCCTGTAGGAACCACACACCTATTATCCGTTTTGTTAAGCAATCAATCAATCACTAAAATAAAAACCGCTTACATCACCATGGTACACATGTCAATTGCTCATAAATTTTTTCCCAACAAAATTGCTTATGACATCAATTTTATCAAATTTTTTTCCTTCCAAATTCAAAATTAGGAAAATAACTTTTATTAAATAAATTAAAGTGTGAACATCAACTAACCAAAAGCATATTGGTGATATTTCTCTTTCCAAAAACCCACATTTTGTTAATTAATTATTTTATATTGTATTGAATTTTTTATTCTAATTCGTGCATCGCACGAGTGCTAATCTAGTAACAATATATTAAAAGACACACCACCAATGCTACGTGTCATGTCCTGGTATGTACTTAAATTTTTTATTTTATTTTATTTTTTTAAAACAATTTGTATTTAAGAAACAAATATTTTGCAAATATATATAACAACATATACTTCGTACTTACTTAATCAGTATTCTAGAAGATTTAATACTCGAATAATATACTTCGTACTAAACAACATATTTAGCGTTAATGAATTTTTTTAGTACGGAGTATGAGTTTTGTGTAAATTTGGATAGAATATTGATTGTACTCAAATAATTCGTATTAATGAGTTTTTGGGATTCGTTTTGTATAAATTACGAGGCTAATTTTTGTATAAATAAATTATGTTTTTGTTTAATTGAAATCATATACGGAGTATATATTAAAATACAAATAATTTTTAAAAAAAATAAAAGAAAAAAGAGACCATTTATTTGAAATAGGTGGTCTCAGTTTTTTAAAAAGTGAGACCATCTATTTGAAATAGATGGTCTAAATTTTTGGAAAACTAAGACCATCTATTTTAAGTGATCTTAGATTTTCAAAAAGTGAGACCATCTATCTTAAAGGAGTGGTCTCAGTTTTTAAACAAGAGACCACTTTTGATGAAGTGGTCTCTTAGGCCAAAAAGACTTGTGAGCTAGAGACCACCCCTAAAATAGTCTCTTTGGCTATGTTGATATGGTCTCTTTGGCCAATTTTTTAGTAGTAATTAATAGTATAGTTGGATTTTGCTCGAAAAGAGCTTTCCAACGATATATTATAAGCCCAATTACCATGAACAATGAGGAAGTTATGGCTGAAATTAAATTTGGCCCGAAATGAATTTTATATGTGGCCCAATGATCTAGTGGAGGGCCTATTAATTATCATTCCTATTAATGATCTAATGTTATTATGATTGATTTTAATCTTCTAGAATAATCTAGAAGGTACTTTTAAATTTAATGAGATAAAGATTAATAATTATATTTTATTTTAAATAAAAAAACAGTCATTTATCACAAACCTGATTTTAATCTGATCTACGTGGAATTAGCTGCTTAATCATATTAAGAAGAGGACTCCGCATACAAAGCGTGTTTTATTTCTGACTAAGCACAAGACGACAAGTCTATCGCCTAGCGCTAATAGTTGTCGCCTGGCGTTAAGCTTGTCGTCTGGCGCTAACTCCTGTCGTTGGCGACATGAGGTATTTTATTCCGAATAGAACTTGATTTGTTTCCAGACTATTTTTTTCTATAAATAGGGGTTGTATCTCCCCGTTTTAAAAAATTCACAACCATCATCTCTTTCTATTCTCTTTCTAAAAGCTAGAAGCTTTCTCTCTGATATGTCTATTTTATATAGTGTTTTACCCCCGTCCCGTGGTCATTATTAGTAGTGTTTTTGGCTTTTTCGGGCCACTTTTATTACTAATTTGTGTGTTCTAGTGTTTTCGTAGTTTTAGTTAAATTTTACAGGAAATTGCACTCTTGGAGCATTTTCCCGGGCCTTATTGGATCGACTACGGAAGCTAGAAGGACACGACCACTTTCGGAGCCCAAGATCGGTGAGAGCCGGTGACTTAGGGCTCGGTTATTTGGATCACGAGGAAATTGGACCATGTATTCGAGACCCGAGAGGAAATATGGATTGGGCCGAGAAATCTAGCCCAATCGAAGTCCAAGCCTTGAAGATGAAGACCGGGCCCGATCGGGCAAGCATATGCCCGATCGAGTGGATGCACGTAAGAGCAAGATGCGTGCTGGTGCGCAGCAAGCCAAGGCGCGCCCGATCGTGCGAGGCTTAGCACGATCGGGCGGTGCTGTGAGAAGACCTGTGCGAGAAAAAAGGCGGGCCCGATCGGGCGGCCTCTAGCCTGATCGGGCGCGTGTTTCTGGAAGGGTCTTTTGACGAGCAATTAGTTTCTAATTAGGAGTAGTTTTTAGTTTTGTTTAAGTACATTTTTAGGACGCTTAATTAGGATCTCTTCTTCTTCTCTTAATCTCCTTCTTCCTTAGACTTTCTCTCTCTTAATCTCTCTCTCTAAACTTTTGTTCTTAATTCTTTCATTAATTCCAGATTTATTTTGGGTAACGATTTCTCTTCCTTTAATCTTAGTTATTTATTCTATTCCTTTCATCATGATTTATTTTATTACTTTGATTAGTTTACTTTTTAATATGTGTGAGTAGTTTAATTTCTAGGGTTTATGGGGATCCATAAATAATATGAAGGGGTAAATTATTGTTGTTGGTTATTAATGCTAGATTAATTTCCTATTGATTGATTTAATGCTCTGTGACTAGATTAGGCCTATCTTTTATGCATGAGTTTGACAATATTGATTCAAGAATCGAGAGATGAGAATTAATGTTTAGGTCTAGTTTCAATAGGCAAGTTAATTTATAAATGGTTAAGTCAAGATTCGAGAGATGAGATTAAATACCGGTAAATTAATTGTGTGATTGTAATACGTAGCGAGAGCCCTTTACAATCTGGTTAATTGATGCATTGATGATTGACTATTATTGATTATTGGTATTGCATGATAATTTCTTATTGGATTGTTTTAATGTTTTACAATTGCGGCTTGTAAAAGTATAGCAATATTAAATTGATGAATCGAGCAGATGTTAATTTGATATTAAAGGCTATTTTCAATAAGAACTTAGATCTAGTAAATTGCGAGAGCCTGTTAGATCTATGTTGATTAATAAATTGTGAGAGCCTGTTAATCATGTTATTTATGCAATGTCAATGATTGATTACTATGTTTTACCCTGGAGTATTATTTGTTGGTGAACCTGTGCCCTAAATCCTTTCATATATTGTTTTCTCCCTATTCCTATTCTTTGTAGTTTAGTTTCATAGTTAAGTATAAATATTGGTTACTTAAATAATTTAGATTATAATAATCAATTAGGAGTAAAAAGACTTGTTTCCCTGTGGAGATCGACCCTACTTCCCTATCTACCTTAGTTAGTGATTTAGGTAATTATTTTTGATTAGGGGATACGACTTTACCCTGTCACTCTCTCTCTATTCTTTTTCTAAACCTTCCCTCTCATAAAATTCCACATACATTAGTTCTAGTCACACCTAGCTAAGTTCAAAGTTGCCTTCGCCCTACACGTGAAAGTTTTATAATTACTGAGGGTTTGGTCCCAAATCCCTATTTCAATTATTTAATTTAATTGTTTGATTTATTATATATTTTCCTTGAAGTTACTAACGTGTGTATATTGTTATTAGAAAGAGATACGAGGCATCCAAGTAAGTAATTGCTTTAATTATTATTTTGATATAGAAATCATGCTTTGATGATTTTTAATTCCTAGTATCATGTTAGGATGTTTTATTGCTTCCTAGTATCATGTTTAGGGTAATAACTAAAGTTTCTAATATCATGTATGCTTATGATGTTTCCTATTTCTTTCCTTCTATCATGTTAGTATCGTGTTAGGACCAAAGCTTTAATCTTTATTGTTTAGTGACATGCTAGGGTTTGTCATTAATCTTGTTAGTATCATGCCAGGATCTTGCTAATAATATTATTATGCTTTATTGAGATTGAGAATATTATTATGATTATAATTATTACGTTGCCTGATATATATTATTGTTTTTATTGCTTGATCACGCCCTCTCTTGTTGGATTAAAGGGAATTTGTACTTGTAATCACGCTTAATTATAAGATAATTAATAATCTTGTTTAGGCTAATATGATTATAATTCAAGTGATCACCAATAATAGTTTTGTTTGTGCATTAATATTCAACCTGCATAGATTAAACAAGTTTAGATTGATCTATTGATTGCTTGTTAGTCAGAAAGCGCACATGAATACGAGAAGAATAAAGTAGATTCAGGGTAGGTTCAATCTCTTTTAGGTTGGATTTGTACCTTCATCCCCCATTATCTAGTCATGGTTCCAGGCCACTATGGAGTTAGCGATCTCATGGATCGTGAAGGGGTTTAACCTTCACCGTGTGAACGGTTTACAAGTTCCTAAAACTTGTTGGAGACTTTTTTGCTATAGCTTCTTTCCCTTTGGACGCCACCATGCTTAAGTGTATGATCATAGTGGGGCTCAAGTGTAGGATGC